CAATTAAACCGTGTGCAAGCTGGCACACTAAATGAGGGTCAGACCGACACCGAAGCACCTCCCTTCATGAATTTCTTTAATGAAAATAACCAGGTCAAGGGCATTCCAGCAGCCAACCCCACCAGCAGGCCGCCACGCACTTTCATTTGAACTATCAATGAATAATGCAAAAGGTAAACCTGAATGTTCATTACTTAACACAGCCATGAGAACAGAAGCACCTACATGTTCCATGTGGTGTCAAAGAGCGAGTTCATCGCAATCCCCATTATTTGCAATCCATCACTCCATCAATCAATCCCGGTTAGAGCATGTGCGCATTCGGTATATTTTAATTGTAAAACACTGTAGGAGGACCACATTATTCATGAAGGAACCTCACAGTATTTCATTGTCTCAAGGTCAACGCACAGCCCCGGGAAAGCCTGACATCATGCCACCGCTGCTCAGTCCTGGTACAGGACCCGACGCTGGGGCGATGAGAGCCATGGAGAGCGAGGGCACCTCCACAGCACACCTGCTCAACCTCTGGACAGCTTGAGGAACTTCACCCGAGCTACCCTGTGCTGGAGGCATGTCGGGGACTGTGCATCTTCCAAAGGAAAAAAGCTAACCAAAGAATTTCATTACAGCATTACCCACATCAGGAGGACCTCTTCAAAAGCTTTTAGAACCAATCAATCTAAATTTGTTTTAAAACCGAGATTCTAAATCAGTAAATGTCCCCCAGACAGTGTCATTAACTGTCTTCATCAGTTTGAAAATGCCCTTGGTATCCGTTTTGCAGACCAGAGGAAGAGGAGAATTTGGCTGAACTCTGTCCCCACCTAGTGGTGGTGTCTGGTGCCCGACACTGTGGGCAAAGCTCAGTTTCCCAATTTTTCTTTCAGAGGGAGAACAGGGAGGTGATCGCTCCTTCACACCCACACAGGTTCAAAAGAAGACAATGTGATAATAAAAGGACCGTTCTTAGGACCTGCCTTCATGATACTCGATCACAGAAAATTGGTATATCCCACCTTTAGCCTTCCAGCGATATAATCCTACTTTTCACTTTCTCAGGGAGAAGACTTCCATTGTTGCTTGAACCAGAGCAGCAGTGGGGCAGCCACTGGTTTCTATCCTCATTCAGTCTGCAGTCCTCGAGGGACAACGCAATGCAAAGCTACACGCAATAACAATCACTCCCTCACTTGTCCTCATTAACAAAGACCACTAAGAGATCATCAGGCAGGCAGTACCTGGCCGTTCTGCCCACTCGGTGGATGTAGGTGTTGGCATCCTCCGGACAGTCGAACTGCAGCACCCAGTTGACGGCAGGGAAATCTGTGGAGCAAGAGGACCTTTCAGAACGTGCCTTCAAGAGCAAACGGTCCCTGAGACACAGTTTCAACGGTCCCTGTGCGTGCACTGGCAGCGCCCCTAAGCCCACCTGACACACCACGTGGTGCCGAGCCAGCACAGCAGGGCAACATGAAACAGAGACGAGGGGGTAAATACGATGTTCTAGAACAACTCTGGAGTAAAATTAATTCTTCACCCACTTTATGAGACAACACAACAGAAACATAGTGTTTATAGGAGGGTAACACAATAGAGGACGTACAGAAGACACCCTGGGCAGACAAAGTAAATTCTGGAGTGTGAAAAGGGAAGGCAAGCATCACTGGTAAGGACATGCTATACACGCAGACCTGCGAAGTACACGGACATCAAAGGGCAGGCATAAGCCTTTCTAAAACAACACCAAAACTATTTCAACCTGCCTGCAGCTTCAATTCTCAAGAGCAGAAGGAACAGGCGTGTGGAGCTCGGGAGGGGAATGAAGCAGAGCTGCGGCCGCGTGGCTTCGGAGGCGGCCAGGACTCACCGAGGCCTCGCGCAGCGATGTCCGTGGCGAAGAGGACAGCGGACCTCTTGCGGATGAAGTCGTTGTAAACCTCCATCCTCTTCATCTGCTGCTGCTTGCCGTGCAGGGCCAGCACCGGGATCCCCGGGCGCAGCCGGCAGAACACCCGGAACAGGTACTGCACCTGGGACACAAGCGCAGGGCTGAGCGCCGAGGGAGGAAACTGCAGTGCTCAAGATTTAAACACACAAGGCCACCGCCGACAGAGACAACGGCTTGTCGGTCAGAGCACAGCACAGCCGAGTTTAAAATGCATGAAGAAAAGCTCATAGTTCCGACTCCTGGAATCTGATGCAAGCTTTTCACATCTAAAGTTTTGCTTCTTTGATTTCTCCAAAGACCACCACCGTTTCACTTGATTTCCCCAGACCAAATTGTTTTAGGCAAATACCAAGTCAAACAGGAGCAGGAGTGTTTTTGATTTCCTTTCCCCAAAGGCAATAATGACCCCCACCTCCTTGCAGCAGGCAAAAAAGACGATGATCTTCTTGCTCAGGTGGCTCTTCAGGAAGGAGAAGAGCATGTTGACTTTCTGGTGCAGCTCACAGACGACGTAATTCTGCTCCAGTGTCGCGGGAGTGCTGTGAATAAAGACGCACATATAAATGACCTTCCCTTTTACAACATTACTACCTGGGTAATAGCATATACTTTGTCTCGATGTTTGAGGATTATAAACATTAATTTAGAAGTTTAACTTCATGGTCACAGCTTGAGTTGTGAGTGGCTTAAGGGACAACACAAATTACACGGTACACGGCACAGCCAGGGTTAATTTTAGTTATTATTCAGGGTAATGCCTGCCTTCCAGACTTGGGCATCTCAGAAAGGACAAGTGGCATGGGTGAGGAAGTGAGCCGCTCTACAGAGCAAATAAAACACCAGCAGAAAGAAACTCTCTTAAGCAAGACTCAAACCAGAAACTCCTGCTTCCTGTGGTAACTGAAAATCAGGCTATTGATAAAACTCAAGTATGAACAGAATTTATGATGAACTGGCTGGGGTATGGTAGACTGGTCAAGTTGTGCCTACTTCAGTCAATCTCCAATTGTTGTCTTAATCCTGTTGTTGGACATTCTTGTGCTACAGCTACAGAAAGGCCGGAGCTCTTGTTACAAGACCGTGAATTGTTGCACATGCTGTACTTTGCTCTAGAGAGACAAAGGTGTTTATTACACGGCTGCTCTGCACACAAACGCTCAGAGATTTTAAAAACCTGGATATTCTTAAATTTTGTGAATAGAACGGATGTCCTCCTCCTTCTTCACTGAAAACTGAGTAACTGTTTCTGATCTAAAAAAATGTAATTCCTAGGAAATGTTCTGAACTGTAAACAGGAGCAATGCAGCAATGACAGGGAGTGAAGAACAATCACTTCACAAACCAGGAGAAGGGGGATTTCCAATCAATCCCCAATAAGCACATATCCTGCACAGCCCAGGAAAGAGCAGCTGAAGGAGGAAGCAGGGAATCCAAATGGTATTACTGTGAAAAACCCCGGCATCCATAATCACCTGTCAAACGCTGTTGTCAAGCCAGTCAAGCATACTCCCAGCACATCTTAACACCAGCTGCAAAGGCAGCAACTGCTTTAAACATGTGGCAGAGACCCATGCTGAGACACTCAGGACTCCTACAGCTGCGAAGCAGGCAGCACCTTTACCGACAACATCCTACCCCACGGGGGCTTGAGCCCGTCTACGATCCAACAGGCAGGAGATTCAGACAGAGCCGAGGGCCTGTCAGACCTGCAGCTGTACCAGAGGCACAGCTTCTCAAGAGCACAGGCTCTGGCCGGATTATGGAAGTGCTGCTCAAACTGCCAAATTCTGAATACCAAGTAGCACCGA